ACATTGTTGTTACAAACACCGGCGAGATGGAAAGTGTTCAAAGTCATCTGGGTGGCGGGCTCTCCAATACTCTGCGCCGCGATGGTGCCAACACCCTCCTCAGCAGCAACTAGGGCTTTCTCGAATCTTTGCTCCACCTGATCAGAAGGTCACCTCCCAGTTCCTCCCTACTAACATCACCTCTCCCAACAGCCAATCGACTGCCCTCTGCCCGAGTCTATTCCTTTCCAATAGCTTTCTGGACGCTAGATGGTATCGTAGATGGGATTGGAGGACCTGCCCAGTACAATGACTCAACCCTATAGTGAAGTAGAGACACCTACCACTGCGGCGTTATGCTGAGCCTCCCACCCTAGGATTTGGTCATCAGTAAGGCCTCGAATGACCCTTAGCCTATCCAGGGCCTCCTCCACCTTCTAGACGACCTCTTGAGGAGGATAGAACTAGAATGAAACCATTAGCAGTTATTCTCTTGTTGAATGCTACATCAGGATCCAACTCAGCTGGGAAGAGGTAGTGGCACTGGTCAATCAACCTCCTCACATTGATGGGAACACGCTGTCGTGATTCGCCATCCTTATACACCTTCGTACCTAATCCAATACCACTCCTTCCCATCATCATCATCACCAAGTTGATATTCATCCGAAGTTGATATTTCATGAACCTTACGGAGGAGGACACCATAAGAGACACTCCACCATCCAATCCGAATAACCTTCTGAACACATACGAATAAATACGCCGTGATTCGCTACATAGTTACTCACTTATATAGCCGGGCAATGAATCGGTATATGAGTGATTTGCCCTGACCTGTTGGTAACACTGTTAGACACGACTCTCCCCTAAGCGGCAAAGCAATAACTGTGCAGGGTCAATCAACATCCACTCGTTCATGCGAACCATCGGCATAATATTACACCAGGTGTGTCCGTTTCGGCCACGTCAATTTGACGTCGTCAACAGTGTTGTGATCAGTCATTGAATTAACAAAATATAATCGTAAGCGCCTAGACCAAGATCCCTGAACACTGAGACACGCTACAGATGCATTGTTAGCTATCCATCATATATATATCCCATAACGGTCCCGTATACCACAAGAAAGCTGACATTCTTCCAATGACAGAAATATTGTGTTTTTATCCCAAACAGACATGGTAGATTCTTAAGTCCGATCCAAACTATACACTATCAATATTATG